TTATTTATACGGCTGTAAATTATGGTCATTCACAGTCCGCACGGCTTCCCAAGCAGTCCGTGAAGAGCCCGGCAGATGTCTGCTCGAGTTGCCACAGTCTTTCAGGGGAATGTTGACAAACACCCACCTTTATCTCCCTGGGAATCCTGCCAGAGGCCAAATTGCCCAATGCAGAGCAAACTCCAACTCCACCAAACTCAGCACAGAACTTCTCAAAGCTTGAACCGACCAGATGAACTAATTGCTTCCCGCAAAAGTTCACGTCCTGTTCGCTCCATTTTTATGTCTTATGGGAGGGGCCAATCATCTCCAAGCCTTACTCCCGAGTCGACCCTGTTTTCTTAACTGTTCTTCTCTTCTGGCAGCTCTGCGCATTCGCACACTGGGAAGAGGCTCCTGCTGTTCTTCTGCCCTACTGATCTCCGACTCCGAAGGCAGATGATAACTGTCAGACAGCCCTGGCCCCCTCTCTGCCTCCGACACAGAGCCATCACCTGAGCCTTCCCCAGACTCCAGGACTGGCCCATCTTCCTCCCCAACCTCCTTGCTGTCTGACTTCTACTCCCAGCTCTGCTGGCTGCTGGAGGGCCACAACATCTCCACAAAGAAGTGAGTGACACTTACCATGGTCTTCTCCGAACATCATACAGATCGATCTTGTTCTGGGATCGACTCTTGTCCACCCATGGAGAGGCTGAAAGGAGAAACAGAAACAGAAATAGAATGAAAAGGGAGAATTTTACATCTCCACTGGATTGATGTAGAGAAGATGCTTCCTCAGACATCCGATGCTTAATGTTCTCTGTCACACCTGCGCAAGTAAATCTTGATTTAGGACTGCAATCGAGCCAGGAATTATGATCATTCAATTGCTGCTGTCCTTAAGCAAGGCGCCGATGCAAATCGCAGCTCTCCCGTTGCAAGCAATCTTCATCTGGAGCATAGGGTGCTTCAGGGGTTGGGGAAAGACTTTGGATTGCTGAAGGAATGGTCATAAATTGAGGACTAGCTATATAATTCTGATTTAGAACTAGATTTAGAGTTATAGAGAACAACATTAGTCAGGAACATATCCTCCTTATATTATAAGGGGCTTATCTTGCAGCAGGGGTGGGCTTCAAAAATTTTAGCAAGGGGTTCTCTGCCTGGTTGCTGAGTGGGCGTGGCCATGGTGGGTGTGGCCTAGTCAGCCTCCTGCACCATGGGGGTGGGGCATTTTTGCCCTTCCCAGGCTCCGGAGACTTTTGTCGAGCCTCCGGGAGGATGAAAACAGCCTCTCCAGTCTCCGGAGGCCCTCTGGAGGCCATTTCCATCCTTCCCAAACTTTCAGTAGGCCCATTTTCCGCTCCCTCTGAACCTCCCTGTGCGCCCTGCTCTTACCTGCATCCAAAATAGCAATAGCAATAGCAGTTAGACTTATATACCGCTTCATAGGGCTTTCAGCCCTCTCTAAGCGGTTTACAGAGTCAGCATATTGCCCCCAACAACAATCCGGGTCCTCATTTTACCCACCTCGGAAGGATGGAAGGCTGAGTCAACCCTGAGCCAGTGAGATTTGAACCGCTGAACTGCTGAACTGCAGTCAGCTGAAGTAGCCTGCAGTACTGCACCCTAACCACTGTGCCACCTCGGCTCCCTAATGTAATGCGATACATTATAATTACAATTACAATAGCAGAGTTGGAAGGGACCTTGGAGGTCTTCTAGTCCAACCCCCTGCCTAGGCAGGAAAACCTATACCGTTTCAGACAAATGTCTCTCCAATATCTTCTTAAAGACTTCCAGTGTTGGGGCATTCACAACTTCTGGAGGCAACTTCTGTTCCACTGATTAATTGTCCTCACTGTCAGGAAATTTCTCCTTAGTTCTAAGTTGCTCTCTCCTTGATGTGAGGGGAACCTTTACCTCTGGTATATGACATCAGGGAAATAATCAAAAACATATAGAAGTATTTCAAACCAGCAGCGGAAATGTGAAAAGTATGAGGAGATATTTCATCAGGCATGGTAAAATTGTGAGAAAACTGAGAAACTCTGGGTAGACTATCATATAATGATGCAGAGGTTTTTAATGATTAATGTTGCTAAGAAACCAGAACTCTTTTTATTGGCATTTATGGATAACAAATTTGGGGGCAGAGGGGAGAGGATCATGATAAATTGACACCCTGCATGGTAGCAATTTGCAAAATGTTTTTATGCACAAGGATGGAAATAAAGAAATTCCTAAAATAGAGGAATGGGTTGTGAAACTACAGAAATGGAAAAACTGGTCTGTTTGGTCAGAAAGAACAAAAACCACATTTAAAAAAAAAAAAGCCTGAAAGCCTTAGATGGACTTATGACTGAAAGAAGGAGGGGAAATCTGAACCAATGATTTATGGATTTGAAGGCTGAGAAATATGAAGACTAAATGAGGGAGGTGAAGGAAGCCTATAAATTATTTAAGATGGGAGAAGACAATAAAATTGTAATTATCGGTTGAGAAGAAGGTCAAAAGCCATCTATAAGCTTCCTTGCTTTTCTTTTCTTTTGATTTTATGGCTGCTCCCCTTTGGTTTGTTACTATTATATGAAAAAGTTCAGTAAATATAAATTGAGAGAGACAGAGACAGAGAGAGAGAGAAACAGAGAAATGCAAAGACAGAGAGAGACAGAGAAAGACAGAGAGAGAGACACACAGAGACAGGGAAAGAGAGAGAGAGATGCAGACAGGGAAAGAGAGAGACAGAGAGAGATGCAGAGACAGAGACAGACAAAGACAGACAGAGAAACAGAGAGAGAGAAAGATGCAGAGACAGAGAAACACAGAGAGAACAGACAGACAGAGATGCAGAAAACAGAGAGACAGAGAGAAACACAGAGAGAGAGACAGAGATGGAGAAACAGAGAGAGATGGAGAAAGATGCAGAGAGAGAGAAACAGAGAGAGAGACAGCAAGAGACAGACAGACAGACAGNAGACAGAGAGAAAGACAGAGAGAAAGGGAGACAGAGAGAAAGAGGAAGAGAGATAAAGAGAGAGAGAGAAAAGGAGAGAAAGAAAGAGAGAGAGACAGAGACAGAGACAGAGAAAGACAGAGAGAGAGAGAGAGAGAAAGGAGTTGTTTCTGTCTCAGAGGAAAATGTTTGGTAGAACTCAAAGTAATACAGCTGAGAATCACAAACGTGGGCCATCATCTTCAGTTCTTTCTCCTCAAAAATCAGAAGCCTTGAAGGGTTGAGTATCAGAGAAGGCAGTCTTCCCTCCAGGAGCTCAACCATCCGGCATCTTGACCTGCCTTACAAAACTTGCTTACATTTTGCCAAGGACATGAATTTGCAATGGTGCCCCCATCTCACAATCCGCCTGTTGATGAGCATACTAAAGCCAACCCAATGGGGGAGGAGGAGGAGGAGGAAGATGAAGAGTGGAGGAGAGGAGGAAGTCTGAGGTCCTTAGTGCTCCCTGAGCTTGGTGTTTTTTCTTGCAGACGTTTCATTACCCAACTAGGTAACGTCATCAGTGCTAGGCTTAGGGTTGCTGCCTTGTTCGGTAAGGAAACATCTCCAAGAAAACCACCGAGTTCAGAGCTCACCAAGGGCTCTTCAATTCCGTTCAACGTTGATCATTGTTCGGACCAAATTCACGCCCGAAAACTCAATTAACAACCTGGACAAGAAATACTTTTGTTAGAAGGAGAATAAAAATGTTTTCTCCTTATTATTTTTTAAACCCTTTAAAGGACTCTTCGAGTAAGTTCATTAGATCAGCCCCCAGGAATATACAAATTGAGTGGAAACTAACGGTGGCCTGCAGATATTGAAAAGATGCTAAGATATAAATGAATTACTACGGCACATCCGCTAAAGAGAGGGACATTTAAATGGATGTAATGAGTCGCTTTGTTCTGCATTCATCAATCTCAGCTCCAGTAGATGAGCTCAGCCTTCGGGGGACACCGGAGACAATTTAGAGCATCCCCCCCTTTTTTTTAAAAGAAGAAGCCAGTCCTGCCACTTTTCAATTTAACGAAGCCAAATTGCCTTTCTGGCTGCTGATTCAAGAACGGCCAGCCGTCACCTTAACTGCTCTTACGACCATGATATAGGAGAAGGCAGCCGACGGACGAAAGCTAATGCACTTCTTGAAAATGTCAACTCAGACTCCATCCAAGCCCATCTCATTTTTCGTGACAAGGCTGGAGTTAATTAAATATCAGGGAAGCTTCAGGGTTTTTCCCCCCTTCTTCTTCTTTTGTCCTTAACACTTTTAAAGACTTCTGATGATTCAAAGAGCATTACATCAGGAAGCGAACCAGGGGTGAAATCCCACAGGTTCTGACAGGTTATGGAGAACTGGTAGCGGAAATCTTGAGTACTTCAGGGAACCGGCAAATGTTACCTCTGGCTGGCCCCAGAGTGGGCAGGGAATGGCGATTTTGCAGTATCCTTCCGCTGGAGTGTGGAGGGAATGGGGATTTTGCAGTATCCTTCCCCTGGAGTGGGGAGGGAAAGGGGATTTTGCAGTATCCTTCCCCTGAAGCGTGGAGGGAATGGGGATTTTGCAGTATCCTTCCCCTGGAGTGTGGAGGGAATGGGGATTTTGCAGTATCCTTCCTCTGGAGTGGGGAAGGAATGGGGATTTAACAGTATCCTTTTCCTGGAGTGGGGAGGGAATAGGGATTTTGCAGTAACCTTCCCCTGGAGTGGGGAGGGAATGGGGATTTTGCAGTATCCTTCCCCTGGAGTGGGGAGGGAATGGAGATTTTGCAGTATTCTTCCCCTGGAGTGNTCGGAAGGATGGAAGGCTGAGTCAACCTTGAGCCGGTGAGATTTGAACCACTGAACTGCAGATAGCAGTCAGCTGAAGTGGCCTGCAGTGCTGCATTTAACCACTGCGCCACCTCGGCTCTTCATGTTATTAGAATTCTGCATCCGGGTTAAAAAGACAGGTTTTTTTTGTCTTTATACAATATAGGAAAGAACCCCGATTGAAAACGCTCATGTTTTCAGCCCTTACATTGAGCTGCTCAAAGGCGTAGCTGAACCCCTTTTTGTAGTCAGTGATTCCTTTCGCCTGGATTTTGTAGACGGCTTCCTTCAACTTCTTCTTGTTCCTCACGTTCGCTTGCACGAGGTGATTGAAACAACTGACGTTTTGAGCTTTATCATTGAACTGGAAGGGAGACAGAGAGAAAGAGAGGAGAGCAGTCAATAAAACAAAGACGGCAAATGAAGAAAGACGTTTTTGCAAATTAGATCACAAATTAAGGGATTGATAGACATCAGGTGTCCCTTATCTGGAGCTAAGCATAACTCTTTTGCAGGATGTAAATGTTTAGACAAGGGTGCCTCCATCAATACTGCAGAATTTCTTCTCCCCTCTGGAGAAGGAGGCTACGCAGAAGCTAAGAGCTTCTGAATTTCCCAACAAAAAGAAACAAAAAATAAATGTTACGCCATATAGGTTTATACGGCATGCAACATTTTTTTTTTAAAGCAAATGAAATCAGTTGCTGATGAAGTCTAGTTCAGTGTTTCTTAACCTTGGCAACTTGAAGATGCCCGGACTTCAACTCCCAGAATTCCCCAGTCAGCATTCGCTGGCTGGGGAATTCTGGGAGTTGAAGTCTGGACATCTTCAAGTTGCCAAGGTTGAGAAACACTGGTCTAGTTGCTCCTCTGGCCTGGAAAAAACAGCTATGCGATTCTTTAAGCCATCTAGATTTGCATCACGATAGTAAATGGACCATAGTTTCTGTCGAACTGGTTGATTTATTTGCATCTACTATTTATGGCAATCAAACTGTTGAGTCCTAGAGGAAATCAACCCTGGCTGCTCTTCAGAAGGCCAGATCCTGAAGAGGAAACCCAAATCCTTTGGCCACCTGATGAGAAGGAAGAAGGCCTCCCTGGAGAAGAGCCTCATGCTGGGAACGATGGAGGGCAAAAGAAGAAGAAGAAGGGGACGGCAGAGAAGGAGGTGGCTGGATGGAGTCACCGAAGCAGTTTGGCGTGAGCTTCAATTTGTATTTTGGGTTTTTCCCTTGATTGAAAAAAAAAAAAAAGAATGAAATCACGCACAATTATATTGTACAAAGTCAGCCCTCACCCCATCTCCTAGAAGAATCAAATATTTTGGTAAACATTTCAAAAGGCAGAATATTATATTTCCCTAAAGGAGAAGCATAATCTCGGAAAACAGCTGCCCCCTGCCTTAATACCCCCAGTAGGACTGGGCCAGCCTATCTACACTAAACCAGGGCTCAGCAACCTTAAACACTCAAAGAGCCACAAAGGTCCTAATC